TCCCCTGATACCCTCCCTCTCCTCTCCTCCCCCCTCCTCCCCCGATACCCTCCTCCTCCTCCCCTGATACCCTCCCCTCCCCTCTCCTCCTCCTCCCCTGATACCCTAAATAGGTGTTAATGCACCTGTGTAATGTGTGTTTATTATTAACAGCAGTAGGCCTCTCTGCGTGGCTTTTAAACTCTTTTTCTCTGGTATAGTGGCAATATGCAACTTTAATTTCAGTTAAATCACTAATTTAAGTTACATTTAGTTACTTTAAATGAGACTGGAACTTGTGCTGTGTATCCAGGGATCTGTTTGCATTAACATTTTAATATCCAGACTTTCACTATTCCCATTATTACACTGAAGCAGATAGAGGCAAGGAGAGGCCTGCTTATAGTTATAGTAATAGTTTTCTATAATTTTAAAACATTAAGATGTTGCTGTCCTGAAACAAGTACAAGATGGGTAATATAGCCTATACCTTCACAGAAGCAATAATAAAAAATGTTCTTTTTCTGTTCTAAGTGTATCTTAATACAAGATAAGTATGTTGAAGAGAGAGAGAGAGATGGGAGATGTTCCTTTATTGATCCCCTCTGGGAGAAATTCAGGTTTGACAGCAGCATAGAAGAAATATAGTGCAGAAAGAACAAAAGTGTAAAAATACAGTAAAGAATGATATAAATAAAAATATAATAAAGATATAATCAAAAATATAGACTATAATGAAAAAAATATGCATTATATACAGTATGCGATTAGAAATATGCAAACATATTTGAATTTTTGATTTACTGCAAGGTGTAGTTTGTGCGAAGAGTTGTACATAGACTGGTTACTGTAATCATTCAATTCACTTACTCTTTCCTTTCAACCTTTACATTGTGTTTCATGTGTGAATGCATTTGTTTTGTATTGCAAACTAGTTAGCCTAAAATTGCATTGAAGGGGCAAAATAAAGTGTTTTTGAATTCGATTTAACTTGTGCTGTCCTTACAGGCCCTGAAACAATCTCTGTCTAGTGTGACAACAGTGTTAAACGATGACGCTCTCTTTTGTGCCAGAATGCAGCCTGAGCCTATACTTCGGCCAAAGTTAATGAGCCAAATCAAGTGGGCATCTTCGCAAAGACAAGCGCGGATTACTGTCACCAATAACTTTCAGCATACATATAGGCATGTGAATGTTTCATTAAAACAGACTAACCAATCCTTTAGTAAATGCCTTAAATGCCCATTACTCTAAATATCAGTTTCTGATTGCAGCTATCATGTATATTATGATTATACCATCCATAGTAACAGCATCAGCCTATAATGAGGGGTAAAGCTTACCTTGGTTTACCATCTACAACCATCTGTGGTTATTCAATAATAAAGCAAACACATAAAAAAAAAGACAAAATATGTATTAGAAAGTCATATTTTAATACAGAATTAATGGGGACAGATGTAAAAAAAAGCATGAAATTTACATTCACATAACATAAATGGCAGAAAACAAACAGGTTATGCATTTGCTGATCATTTCTCTACCATTTCTTTAAAGAGAAAGACTTGTGAAAAGTGTGTGTGTCATCTCTTCTGTACACCGGTTTCGGATCAACTCTTTGTCTTCTGAATACTTGTCGGCTGTTGTCATTCCTTCTCACTGCATATTGATAAAATCCATGGGGCGTTTCATCGGTAGAGTCACCTCCAGTTCCTCCCTCTCACTGAAGAACTGAGCCTTTCCCTTGTGGCTGTGGACGGGATGCGGGAGATGAAGACCCAGTTTACTGAGGAGAGGAGAGACGACAGATTAAACATACCAGAGACAGCACAAGGCAGGGAGAGAGGAGTTAAGAGCGGCATGAAACGGCAATCAAAGCTCAGATCACGATGCGAACCTCTGATTAAAAGGAAATGTCTGTAAATGGGAGCTTTTGGTCTGAACTGCTGCCGCCCCGTCTTCAGGGGGTTCAAAATGAAAGAGAACATTTTCAAAGCATCCCTTACTATTTTGGCGTACGTAGATCAAGGAACTTTTCTTTTACATCCAGGACCACATCTGTTGCTTTAGTGTCCGGTAGTTTGATTTTCAACTAAGAGTGGGAAGGAGAAAAAAAAGGCAGCATCTTTAATATTGTACACGGTGCACATTTTAATCTTCACTTTTATTAAAAAAGATACAGATTTTCCCTCTTGTACTGTGTTATCTTAAGTCATTTTATCAGTATTGTTAATATGTCTTCTCACTTCTCATGCTGGGTCAGAGAAAAGTCTGAAAAACTATCCAAGGCTGTTAAGGTACATTCATTTCGTCTTGTCACTGTATGGTATAAAAGACAGAGTTGTAACAGTAATAATGTACCTTAACCTTTTTATACTGTCCACAAATTATTTCAACATGTATATTAGCTTCGTTGAATCTGAAATCATCTACTACTTAAATTCAATTCTCTGAAAACCTGCCCACACAATCGGAGAATCCTGCTATCTTGTCTGATGCTGCTGTCCTCCGATCACATCCTTGTACATTTCATTTTCAGGTGTCATTGAGTGAAGTATGAACATCCTGTAAAGTTACCAGCATGTCTTCACAGCACATGGAGGATGGGTCTTTTCTGTTCAAGCCCAAGAACAGATCCTCTGTCCCCACGCTCTGCTTCAGGATTATTTCATACCTGAATACAAAGGTGTTACACAAACACAAAATACAATCAATACAGTATTAATCTCTTTAAAATCATCATCTGACATCACATTAGACAGAATCAATAGGGAACAACAAAGAACAGAAAGAAGCAGGCAGGAGTGAGTGTCAGCTGAGGTCAATGGACGGTGGAAAATGTGGTATCTAATTGTGATAAATACTTTTCTACGGGCAGTCTCGCCCTCCCTTGTGCCTCTATAATTAATATATAGCACAAGAGTAACTATGGCAATGATTCATAATAATTAAAGACCTGGCTTGTTTTTTGTAAACAAAAAAGTGGAACAAAGTTTTATAATTAGACAGTTTTGAGCTAAACCCTTGTATTGGACAGTGTGTCTTTTGTGTTTTAAAGCTCAAAAAGAAGTGAGGATTCAGGCTTTTTTCTTTTTTTGACTCCTTTACACATCAGTGAACCCTTTGGTGTGTGTTTTTCTGTCTGCTCGGTGGTCTTACTCAGGCTGTGGCCGCAGGTCAGCAAGATCATCATACTGTGAACCCTCCGCCACCTCTTCCTCGCTCCAGATATCTTTGTTGTTCTTCTTCACATAGGCAGCTGACACTAAATAAACAGCAACACACACACACACACACACATGCACAGTTTGTACCTTTCAGAAAGGCCCCAGGGGATACTATAATGACTTTGCAGTTATGTGCAAGAAATACAAGGCATTACCTTCTTTATCTTTTTTGGGTGGGGGGCCAATGTGTCCAGGATCCAGTCGTGCACAAGCCGTCACATTCTGTAGAGGTTAGTTTATGTTATTGTAAGCGTCCAGTCATTAAATCTGCAGTTATTGATAAGGCAGTCATCAATATACAGTCAAATCTGTTTTAAACACGCAGCCTATTAGCAGCTCCATGGCATTAACTCAGAGTGCACTAAATGAAACAGTTGATATCTGGGCAGACTAAATGGGGATCACTTCACCTCTGAGTGTACAATATCTTACTTTACACTCTTCATCATCATCATCACCATCCTCCTGCTGAGTTGATAACAGGGCAGACAGAGCCTGCAGGTTCTGCAGGGATGATACTCCCAGACTCTCCATTCAGAATGGCACAAACTCACGACTGTTTTAAAATACCAAACAAAAGCAACAAAAACAACACAAATGTGGAAAGAACGACCCAATAAAAACCAGAATAAGCCTGAATATGAAGCTGAATGGAGTCGAAACCTGTGGACTTGCTGGCTGTTGACGCTTTCCGTTTCCCTGGAGACGAGCTTTCCGGGTGCCATGGGAACCAGCGACGTCACAGACGGAAAAAGGAAGAAGCTAAACTCGAATAAATGAATAAATAAATGAATAAATAAATAAATAAATGAATAAAAATGAAAGATAAGATTAAAAACAAGGGCGTTAAACTGAATACAGGTCACAGCGATGTTATTAACAGACAAAAGAAGAAGATAGAAAA